TTATCATTTGTTTATTCTTCCTTAGGATATAACAATTATTAACTCCATAATCTTGTGTAAAAGATGAAATACATATTTAAAAAGAAATTTGTTGATGACTTTATTTTCATAAGCTGTGTAATCAAAACTTCATTGAATTTAACAAAACAGAATGTATACAGAAATGATTCGAAGCCAATTTATTAAATCGTTCTTTCAGTGAAAAATGGTGTATATGGTTATAATGAGCAATCATTTTTAAAACATTTAAAGCAATCACTATTTTGTTGGTATCATATGAAATCCAGACACAATATGACTACTACCAATTTATGTATATAAAATAATTAGTGTGACTGTAGTGAACAAGAACACGGGTGGGGACAACCGATTGTATTTAGCACAGACTATCTCAATAAAATGTAAATACCATAAAGTCAATCGTCAATTTGCAAAATATCATTCCATCATATCAAACTGTACTGTTCCCGTTGCAAACACTAATCTATTGTCTTCCATTCCATTGTACATGCGTTTTCTTACAATTCCATTGTGCTCTTGCTCTTCCTTTCTTGATCTTCGCCATCTTCTGCTGCCGGACATTACGTTCTTTTAACGCACGTTATATACTACTTATATGAATATAAGTAGCTCACATCACATGACCATATCTTATTTGTCAGAACATTTACAAACATAATGAATGGAATGCATGGAGTACAGTTTATATTATTGTGTAGTATAAAATAATGAGTAAATGTAACTCGAAAATATGGGGATCTAAGAGCACGAATGTCAAAGACATGCGACAAGATATAAAGTTTTAATGTGACCTTATTTAGGCAAATGGTGGAGGGTTACTGAAAATGATAAATGGCAATTAACTTAAAATAATGTAATAATAGTAATAACAGTATTAATAATAGTCATAAAATGAATCAACTCAGCAAAATTTAGTGGGACAAGTTCGGGTGTAATGAGTTAAAAAGAATAAGATCACATATAACTTGATGATCAAAACAAGAAAAAATAAAATAATGGGATGTGAAAGAAAATACGTATTGTCAAATACTGCTTCGTGAACAAGCTACCTACTTAACTCCATATAAGCAGATATATACACAATGGTAAATGGGTGAATACAGTTTTGGCGGACTGTAACGTGTAATAAATTAACATTTCCTTGACAATTATAACCTAATTTGTCAAAATTGTTTCCAGTACACTTTGATCGGTGATAAAACTAAACGTGAATTCCACAATTGTTTATGCGAGGTTTATAAATATGATTATTGATAAAACAAGATAATGTGTAAATTTAAAATCATAAATGCTTTACTATTTGTTGTCAGAAATGTTTGTCACAACTACACAAAACATCAGTTGTGGAGATGCTTTAATCAATGGCTTTTGACCACTCAGGAAGACATGTATATATGAAACCCAATCTCTATTAACGCGAGTCCCAAAAGGCAAGCGTTAAAGAGAAACTTTATAAAATTATAAAATGATGCCACCAATATATTAAATGAACTAAAATAATAAGTCAATAGCGAGCATTAAAATGGATTCACAAAGGCGGGCAGATGAAAAATAACTATTAATTCGTTATAAAATGATTTAATTAGGTAGTCGGTACAGTTGCAAGTGATAGGGAAAATAAAGATAGTTAACTAAACTACTACTTTCGAATAAATTGAGCATTGGGTAGATTGTTACAAATAAATAAATAATATATTTGTAATATCCCAACGAGTAGAAAATTAGATTTTCTGACGTTTCGTGACTTAGTGTCAGTCACTTCTTCAGAGAATAAATAACCAAATTAATATTAATCCAAGTTTAATTAATTTGGTTATTTATTCTCCGAAGAAGTGACTGACACTAAGTCACGAAACGTCAGAAAATCTAATTTTCTACTCGTTGGGATATTACAAATATATTATTTATTTATTTATAAACTTACTTACTTTACTTTACTTACTTACGCCTGTTACTCCCGATGGAGCATAGGCCGCCGACCAGCATTCTCCAACCCACTCTATCCTGAGCCTTCTTTTCTAGTTCCATCCAATTCTTGTTCATTTTTCTCATGTCTATCTCCATTTCTCGGCGTAATGTGTTCTTTGGTCTTCCTCTTTTCCTTTGGCCTTCAGGATTCCATGTGAGGGCTTGTCTTGTGACGCAGTTAGGTGCTTTCATCAATGTGTGTCCTATCCACTTCCAGCGCTTCTTCCTGATTTCTTCCTCCACTGGGATCTGGTTTGTTCTCTCCCACAGTACGTTGTTGCTAATAGTGTCCGGCCAACGGATCTGAAGTATTTTGCGTAAACAACTGTTAATAAACACCTATATTTTCTGGATGATGGGTTTCGTAGTTCTCCAGGTTTCTGCCCCATACAGTAGAACTGTCTTGACATTTGTATTGAAAATCCTGACCTTGGTGTTGGTTGACAGTTGCTTTGAGTTCCAGATGTTCTTCAGTTGTAAATATGCTGCTCTTGCTTTGCCGATCGGCGCCTTCACATCTGCATCAGATCCACCCTGTTCATCAATGATGCTGCCCAAATATGTAAAGGTTTTTACATCTTCCAAATCTCCGTCAATTGTGATTGGATTGGTGCATGCATTTATAAACTACTACTAATTAATTGTAGTGAAAGTGATTGTATATAAAACAAATTAGTACCTATTTATTTTAAAATATATTATTTGATTAGAGTTCAAAGTGATGCAATTATATAAGAAGGCAACAATCTAAATTCTAGGTTATAGTTTAATCTGCTTCATCTGAATGGGACTAAAATACATAAATTCACAGGAACCCTGAAGTTTCGATTGTAAATAGCTATCTTCAGAAAAGAGTGAAAGTGAATAACGACACAAAGATTTGGAGATGCATTCTCAAGTTATACGGCGAAATGTAGGTTGCACTGCTATACGCAGTATGATGTTGATATAAAACAGCTAACGGAATGCAATCACATTTCAGGTAAAGCTAGAGTAAATAGGAGGAAATAAATCAGTAGAATAAATGGTTAAGCAGCCCCATCACTAGAAACAATATAACCAATAGTGGCAGAGTTATCCGACGGTTTATCGAATGCAGTTTCTGCACAACTTCCAGATATGAACCCAGTGAAACGTGACCATCAGACCCTTCCTATCAAATCCAGGTTAATTGAATGTATTACCTCTGCCTTCTGAATCTAAGACGACTATAAGAAAGGAGGATTTCCTTCTGCATGCCACTGGGCAAGATGAAAATGAGTTTTTATCTTTTTTAGCATTCCGGCAAGTATATCCGAATGTATTTCACGAACATTGCTCGCTCCACTTGACGAATTATTTATGGTGGAAACTACATCGATCAGAAAACTCTAAGCAACAGATGAAAATTTTGCTTTGCGAGTCCGACAGTTAGCAGCATTAATTTTTGTACGAGCTACAGATGTCTGAATTGTATTTGACAATCTACCTGAGTTACAATTCTATGTAAATAATGGAGAGAAAATCAAAGTATTGATAAGTCACTTTGAAAAAAGTCCGGATTGAGAGACCGAAAGGATGTTGATGCAACGGACATCCTATTTCTAAGTTATACTGTGGAATATCTACGGTTAAGTTTGGGAATATATGCCTAAAGTGAACAGTGAGGTAGAGTGGTAGTATAGAGGCTTTACCCAACCCATTGATACTGCTCATTAAAACATATGGACATTCACTGATGCTCTAAACAAGGGAACAGAGTCTAAATACATACAAAATAGAACAGTTCGTTGGTGAGATGCAGCAGCCACAGAATTTGTCATTTAAACACACTCCCACAAATATCACTAATTATTGAGAAGTAAAACATATTCCATACGTTCTTCAATGAATTATTAGTATTCCTCTGAAACTGTTATTTACTGACCACACTTAAGCCTTTCCAAATACTGATCAGGTTGATGAAATTCAGAAATCTAGTTTTAGTTTACTGGCATAAGTGTTGTCTAGATTTCGTAAAAACTTCGAATTCCTTTAAAAGTAAAACTACTATTACCGAGGGTAATAGGTATTTTTGTTCAGATAGTCTAGTGGTCTAGCTATATTTTTCTGTCATAAATAGTGAAATTAACGAGTCATTCTTCTCAATAACAGTCTTTAGAATTATATGCTAGATGCATTTATAATTAACTTGGCACTGTATGCTTAGAATCTTCCATCTTTCTTGAATTATGACAAAAATGGTCTAATGGTTAAGTGCTCGCGCGGGGAACCAGTAGGTCCTGGGTTCGAATCACGCGGGGTGCGGGATCGTGGATGCGCACTGCTGAGGAGTCCCATACTAGGACTAGACGGCCATCCAGTGCTTCCAGGTTTCCCATGGTGGTCTAGCTTCAACTGACTCATGATTTCAATCTGTGAAGTTTCTAAAATCTCCACAAACCCCTTCTGATAAAAATAATTCCTTTTAATTATTGAAACCATTTGTACCATGGAATGGACAATATAGGGCACAGATAAACGCAATCCAAGTATCTCTGATGATGAACTCAAAAGACATACTCTGATAATGAAACACCTTCAACTAGTCAAGTGATTTCAAGCAACAAAATAACGATTTTCTTTTAAAAACTGACGGAAAAAGTGGTTTCTTCAGAGTAAAATAAGTATTTAAAAATAATGATTGATAAAACAATAGATATTTATTTTGGTAGGCTAACTAAATGCCCAAGTTGGAATTGAGAAAGCGTCATTTTCACAATGAATTATATCTGTCTATGATTTTTGATGTTCATTTTAAAAGTACCACAGACTGAACTTGAAATATCTTTCAGATTTATTTTCTAGGCTAGTCAGAATGGTGGTTGTAATGATTTTACTATACAGGTGAGAAGGTTACTGTTAACTGGCCTAGTTTCATGAACCAATCAAAATGCTCTAAATTAAATCATCGTTTAGATTTGCCAACTTAAAGCGAAAGGTAGTCATCAAAGCGATTGGCTGTCTTAACTGGCTAAAACAAAAATTGATGTGAGCTGCATGGCCTAACTATTTAGGCAGCATAACTTTATTAGCTTTTCGACTGAACTAATTTTAATTCTTATAATTATCTTCAAATGCATATTCTTAATCATCAAATAATCTATTTCATATTATGCCCATTATACATATTTTACGACAGCAAATGTGCAGTTTTAGATGCTAGTTCAATTCGAGATGAAATTGTGGAAACATTATTCGCTAATTATCAGAGTCATGTTCGCCCTGGAGAGCTTATTCGTAACACAACAGTGGTAACAGTTTATATATCTGTATCAGCTATAACGTCTGTGGATGTACGTAATATGGAATACACTATTGATATGTTACTTCGTCAAGCATGGTATGATCCTAGACTAGCTTGGGATCAAATTGAGAAATTCAAACATTATACAAAAAACATTGTTTCTCCAGTTTTCAAAGAAAAAATATGGCTACCAGACTTGTTCTTTCGAAATGGTAAGGAAGGCCGATTACATAAAATGACTTGTGAGAACTTACTAATACGCATACAACCGAATGGTGAAATATTGTACAGTCAGAAGATCACCATGCGAATGGCCTGTCAGATGGAATTACGGACATTCCCTATGGATACACAGGAGTGCGATATGAATATTGGAAGTTATGGATATACATTAGAGCAAGTGAGCTTTGTGTGGAGAAACATATCACCTGTCACATTACCGGAGAATTTGCAGATATCGGAGTTTGACCCACCTGAAGTGGTCAGAGCTTATGACTGCACAAGCGGATACTCCACATCAACTGGACAATACACATGTTTAAACGCTACTTTTACGCTACAACGGCAGTTAGGTTACTGGTTGGCAAGTACCTATATACCGAATATTCTCATAATGGTTGTTTCATGGCTAAACTTTTGGGTTAGTTTAGAGGCGATTCCAGCCAGAGTAAATTTAAGTTTGTTAACGTTACTTGGTGTGATAACTCAGTCGACCAGTTACGCAAGTTCCCTTCCAAGGGTATCGTATATTAAAGCAATTGATATTTGGACAATAGCATGCATAACGTTTAATTCTGGAGTATTACTTGAATTTGCGATCGCTTCTCATCTTGCTAGGCGTCAAAAAGTATCTGAATGGCAGGTAGAAGTTCGGAAGCTAGTTAGACGTGAACTAGCGAGGTGGTGTTCTGCTTGCCAATTACAATATGCACAAAGGGGACCATCTGCGCTCTCAGCATACTCAGCTTCAAGCAGATCAAATGAGAAAGTTGGTGAATACATCAACTCGGTAGCTGCTGCTGCTTTCGCCATTCAGAATAGCCCTGTACTAGAAAGACCAAGTCCTCAAATGTCTGTTCGCTTAACAAAGTCAGGTTTAATGTCAATGGCTAATATTAAGTCTGGAAAACCAGATAAAGTTTCAAAGGGTGTTTTTTACGAATTAGTTACCAATGATTCTGCACTTACAGCTTTAGATACAACACAAAAGGATGCCCTTTTACCAACAAATGAACCACAACGCGTTAAAAAACCAGCGTCAATGTCGAAAATAGATAGTTATAGTCGATTCGTTTTTCCAGCATGCTTTTTACTTTACAATTGTTTTTATTGGCTTTATTATTTAGTGATTGTTAAGCATAAATAGAAAGATAAATAATGAATGAAAACTGTTTTCCATACCTCATAAATCATTCCTTCATTGTGCTAATATTTTGATGAACAAGAATTTTTATGTACTCCTCTTAATAAATCTTTGCTCAATTAGATCTCCATCGTGTCAACGGAAAGCAGGTAACTTATAATTTCAATTTTTACCTTTAATCAGTATTACTTGCATTAATTATCCATATTTAATGGGAAGTTGACTTGTTCTGCTATATAGTTTGAAACTTCAATTTCTGATTGAATAAGTTTGTTTTAAATTTTCAGATGAATCTTCCTTCATTTTCGTTAGTAATAAAAGTAGTGTTAAATAGTGTACGATATTATTTTCAAAAATTTACCTGTCGGTACTTCATATTGCTTCGTTTATTGTAGTTTTTTCCTCTTCTAATAACTAGTTATAAAATCTTAATGGAAAAAGTTATAGTAACCATTATAGATATGTTCAGTGACATTTATCAAAATTAATTTATTTACAACTAAGTAGTAAATAGTTTAAAACAATTTATGGCTGCTATATCATTAAAAACTTAATTTTTGTAATATTTCCGGATATCCCATATATACACACTTATTGTATTCCATTCATTGCATTTACTCTAACATTTTTAGTGTACATATTTTATTCTTGTACCTAAATGCGATTTCTATTCAATCCTAGTATAGCATATTTAAAAATACAATAAGGCGTTACAAAGTTGTTACCAAGGTCCCATATCGTGTTAAGGATAAATAATCTGCTATAAACAATGGATTGTGTTTATCACTCATATATGATATGATAAGCATATCACGAAAACAAGTAGGACTACTGGAAACGTAATGTTGACATATTTCCTGTTTCGGAGAATAAGAATCACATCATATCATTAAGAAGTACGATAAAAAATACTCACGAAACTAACCGTATGACAGATATTCTTGTGTTTCAATATATAGTATTGAAGTATATATATTTCGGCTTTGGATATCTAGAATGTTGCTAAATGATTATTATGCAATCGAATTAACGTATCCTATAATTCCAACACTCATCGCAGTACTTTTGGATATCTTAAAGACATAACTTATGACGAAACATCGTTTCTTGATCAATCAATACATCACTGATTAAGAATTCGAAAAATCATTCTACATACATTGGTTATGATTAAAATTTTATAACAACGTTCACAGTGTCGATAGATAGTGCCTTATGGAGAAATAAGTTTGCTCGGTGAACCAGAAAATTTTCTAAACAAAACCACAGGTACTAATGATAACTTTTGGAATATGAGTGTTTAGCTGGTAGATGAGCATTATGTAGTGTACAAATAAAAAAGATAATCACAAAATAAAACTGAAAACTTTAACTTCAAGGATTTCCACAAACTTTCAGTTTTTCATCCTTATAAAAAATCGACTTGTATCATCTTGGGTCTTTTCTTAGGCAAACATAGAGTCGAATTTAACAAATAAGTCTAATAAAGTAAACTGACTGAGTTAAATAGTCACTCTATATTACCTCATTATCATCGAATGTATATACATACCTGGATTAAGAAGGAACAATTCAGGAGTGATTCAGAAATCTCATTTTACATTGTTGATTTTTGGTCTGAACTAATGAGAGTCGTAAAACCACCAGAAATCCAAGTTTTTAGGAACTACATTGCTACTCAATCATACTGTGACAGGTTCAAATCTTATTGTTGATTTGCAATTAGCAGATTGGATATAAAGCAAAATTTTGCGTTTAGACAGCTAGAAAAATAGACGAATATAGAGTATTTCTTATCAATTGAAGTGAGAAGAGAATAACTACAGACGCTATCCTACTAGTTTGTATTTTGATATGAAGAGCATTACTACACTACAGCTAACCATATGATAGTACAATCAGATTAGCCAATCAAGATATGATAACCTCATACAAGAAAACTACAGCCCTTTTTAATACAAAACGTTTAATAAGGTAGACATATTGTCGATGACTAATAAGGTAGTTGGAGACAAAAATTCAGGTTTGATTGCAATAAACAATTGGTTTGTCTTTAAATCTGATAAGTAATTAATTGTAGGGTTATGAAACACTATTCAAATTCTGGTGTCCCGCTATCAAAAAATCTTACGATCGTATTCGTAAGACTTTAATACGAAATTCAAAACTGAATCCAATTTTCTGATGACTAAACATCTCTCAAATAACTTAGAGTGACAATTATAAAATTACTCAGTTGCGCCAGTAGTTTAAGCCTATAAAATTGACTAAATAGAATTAAGTGGGTCTTGAGCGACGAATGATGAATGCAGTTATTTTTCTGATATTAGCAATCAATGAATAAAAGACAAAACCAAATATCGAAAACATAATTAAGGGGATCACGATAGTTAAAATTTGAAAATAATATTAAACGAAATCGGAGTAATGTTTGAACTCTACATATTCTAGGCGATAGGCTCAGTAACTAAGATTATATGTGCGAAAATTAATAAGCGTAAAAGTAAGAAGAATGTACCAGATTCATGGTTGTTTATTCTAAAATTGAAAACGTCGCTGGAGTTCAATGAGAAAATATGTCTCGACACTATCTGAAAAATAATTACTTTGAAATATACATGCGATTTGGGAAAGCTATCTTGTTTTTGAAATATAACGACAAGTTAGTAATGCATCTACCATTCGACTATAATCACTATGAAATCCGAGTAAACTACATCAGTATAGTTCAACGGCTTAATCGCAGAAGGAAATTATCTTGAATACGACAATGTTTTTGATAAAATGTGCATAGAACCACGTGATGGTAAAACTCATGTAATCCGTAATGCCAATCGAATTATTACACAAAATACTGCTCCTAACAGTACTTGTTCTCGAAGGACATATTCTGTTAGGAAGCAGCCTTTGCATAAAAGTTTCCATATTTCCAAGAGTGGTCAAGAAACGGAAGTAGTTGTTCGGATGCGGATCAGTTTACTTTGGACCTTTGAAATATGAAAAAAACTGAATGCTAAGTTATCCCGTTTAAAGTATTATGCTGAATCTGGCATAATACTCCATATTTGACAAACCTCTAACTGGAACAAGTTTCTCTTGATAGTACTTACAATTCTATTTACCCATTTACGCAACCAATCACACAGACGTTTCCTTTATTTGGGTACATCCCGACAATTTATTAAGTTATTTAGTAGCATATTTGTTAGGTATCTAATTTGGACAAGTCATTCTTGTATCAACCTACATAAATAGAAACACAGCGTAATTAACTCCTTATCAGTAACTGCAATAATTCAGTATAAACTCGCTACTTAGTAACTGGTGAGTGAAATTGGAATTACGCTGTAACGATGCCACAAGAAAATTCCCATTTTGTTGTGCGAATATATTCGTTCTTGCTACATAGAAATACGGCTGACATATAGTATAACTGGCTCCTAACAATAATGAAGTTGATTCCTTTTTCATTTTCTGTTCAAAAGCAGTGTTTTATCTGAATGTAGTGGACCACACATTACTACCGTGACAAAAATTCGATGGTAATTCGGTATGTCATTATTTCTAATTATTTTAAATTTAGACAGTGAAACGAGACAGAAATGCTCTTTTTACCATAACGTGATTTGTCTAGTGTTCGAAAACTTGGACCTTGAATCACTTATCTCCAGAAACCTACTCTTGAACCCCGAAACGAAAAAACAAAACAGCGGAATTATGGAAGAAGTTTTACTTTCAAGGTTAGTTTATATACATAATATATGGGTGTTTATAATGTTACGTGGCCTTGGTATTCTAGAGGCTTCTGGAAAACAAGATAAAATTGGTAATTAACTAAACGGAGGAAAACAATACAACTTGTCGTTTTTCAAAGTTCTAGTGGTAATTTTTAAGGAATGTTGATAGATGGAAGTATTTTCAGCATTTTTCCAGTCTCTAAAGACAATTTCGAGAGCTCCTAACCTGAAGGAAGCTGTCAGATAAATCTGATATTTTGGACACTTATTTCTACATTTCGGAATTCTTAACACAAAATAATGCACTTAACCGGGGAGTGGGTATTTATTTCACAGAGAAATCATAGATATTTCAATACGTATTTGTAAGATGACTTTTAGTAAATAACCTAACCCACCTTACTAGATTAACATTTCGATTTCCAAAGATTGATACCAGAATTTGTACTTGTAACGTTTGAATTCAAGCAATAAAATAGAAAAATATAGTTCAAGTGATGCTTGATAAATGAATTTTACTAATTCTATTAGGTCAGTATGAACTGAGTCAAGTGTATTGACGATAGAAACAAATACAAACAAAACTATCAACAATGAATATTTAGACCACTCTAATGAATATGTGAAACATTTAGCTACAAACTGCAAACGAAGCGTAGGTCTAAGTTTACAGAAACGATTCAAAATGTTGTTAAGATAGTTTATGTATACCAAATTTTTCAGGTTAGTTGTTATCAGTAACGATAAGATCTCAATCGTCCCGTTGCATAACGCTTTTAATTAGCGCTACTGAGATTACTCTTTAAGATCCATGACAGAGTCGTCAACAAGAAAACAAATTACTTGGGCAAAAGCAGTTTTTACTATGGTAAACGTTATATTATGGCATATTGAAGCAAACGAAACGTTTATTAATTTACAAATTCAACACAACGTATACTTTATTGGATGCATCATGGTGTAGTACGCTTACAAAAATGAAACAACTGAAAAGAGAAAAAACATATAGTTATATACGAGTTCACAGAATAAGGATTAAGAAGACATTCATTTTCTTTTATATGAAATTGCAGTTCAAATTAAGCGGACGGAAACAGGTCACTAAAGTGTTCGGTACAATATTTACGGCATTCATCTGAAAAAAAAAACCGATAGAAGATATGCATCTCAAGGATAATTATACGAATGTATAACCAAGAAGAGCTTCATGTGTTCAAGATTGCATTATAATGGCTGTGTAAAGACCTAGGCCAAACTATTCTTACATCCCTTTAAGATATACATTGATCTGAATAAAATCAGGTTTAAGCTAAATGATATATTTGTAATACTTTTTCAGTTAGTATTGAATCAAGAAATAACATAATTGACATTTTATTTTATTTTAACGTGAAAATATATGGAGAAGCACGTTATTAGCATACCAATACCATTCTCTGTAATGTATAAATTAACAAGTATTGAGAATGTACATTATGTACAGTATTATTAAATACGATACAAGAATCCTCGTAATGATAGTAAAGTTGTTTCATAAATTTTGATAAGTGATATTTCTCCACAATCAGTTGAATTCATTAAACAATTATTTTCATGATTCGGATATGTATGATATTATCAAAAAAGAGATCTTATTAAGTCCATAAGGAATCCTTACTAAACTATTTAAAATTTTGAGATTACATAAGCTGAAGCAGTAGTTCAATTTTAATTTAAAATGTAGTAACAATTTATACACAAGCCTTTTTATCTAGAAATTAAACCAATGATTTATAAACATTATGGTGACAAGTGTTAGAAACTATACTGTGTAAATCTTTCGTTTTACTGACGAGGGATACGAGGTATTCACACGTAATGCCTAATAAATAAAATGTAACCTAATAATTCAAAAAGCTAAACTCCTGAATAGTTAGCGCCTTAAATAACGGTTGAAAACGGAGCCCTTAAAAAACTCGGTAAACGAATGACTAACTATGTAGGAATTAATTTGAATTAAAGACAATTTTAAAGTCTAAGCAATCTAGAAATGATAAGGCTTTTAGAATAAGTTTTCAAAAAGTACCTGAGTCCCAATAAGACTCCATACACATTGAACTTTCTTTAAGAAAATGGTGAGTACAATATAATTCCATATAATCTTCGATTTGTTGAATAGCATCCAAATAATTGCGAACATTCTCCATGTCAATAACATTTTCTGAGCGATGCAGCCTAGCAAATCTGTGAAAGTTACAAAAAACGAGAATATAGTGCCCACGTTTACCTAGTGTTCAAAAAACTAAAAGTAACACTAAACATTCTAAACATTAATAAATTTATTGTTATATAGTTGGAAACCATATTAATAGTGATATTTAGAGACACAAAGAATTCCAAAACTTGCATGTTGTTACATAAAAGAAAAGGAATGGTGGCAAGTTAATTATATGTATGACAACTTTCTATATACAAATACTACAGTTTGAAAGCTTGGTACCCTCGGATCCGGAAGTTATTAGTTCAGGCGTTTGTATGCACCAGTCCTGAAGTAATATTTTGCGTCTAGAGGGGGGCAGACGTATGTCAAGTACAGTTACATTATTGCTCAAGATCAAAAGACTGTATTTTCATTATTGCCGAACAGAACTATGCCATCTACATATTCCACGTTGACAAGAGTTTCAGTTCCATAAAAATCAGAGGACAAGTGTTATTTCTAAGAGAATGACAAAGCTAAGCAAAACGAAGAAGCAGCAGACAATCCAGATGAACACAACTTGGTGTTATCAATTTTAATGACTAGTAGTAGTCGAAAAGAGAATCCATACAAGGTCGACGTATTTCTTTGTTATGCTTTTTAATAACAGATACTTTTACAAAACCGCTCGATCTACGATCGAGAAATACCAAAATTATCAGACATCGGCAAATATGCCTATGTTTTGTAATCTGATGAGGGATGAATATTTGATCGACACAACCAAGTTCAGGTCTGAAACTAGCATCGTTTTTTGAGTTCGCTCTTCACGAGCCCCCCTCCAAGAGTTTGGTGAATACTGAAGGTAATATCCTAGACAAACTATATTTAAGTCAAACTGATTACCTTGTGGTTATAACACGAGAATTTTTGCCCTGGTTTATAAGCTAGGATGAGAAGTGGTCGAAACTAATTACATCGGATTATATCAAGCTAATATATCAATCCGTTTATCCGCCAAAATTATCTCCCTGTTATTAAGGATCTCCGTTACCAAACTACTAAAGACCCTTATTCACCTTCTTTTAGTGCTAGCTGTGATCATTACAAATTCGTTAGATTTATTTATTTGAACACATAATTATTGGTACAAGGGGGCACCAAATATATATGCGCCACAGTAAAAACGGTATTCGTATTTGGTGGTAGCATACAATTTTCAACCAGGCAGTGACTCGAGAACGTTTAGATAGAACTGAGTTTCCACCATAAGCCAGCTGCTGTATAAGTCGAAAAATAAGGATACACAAAGTTGGAATAAAAGAGAGTGAATAAGTGACGTGGTAAATAATAATAACGATGATAATAATAGTAATAATAATAATGTGGATTGTTTGACTGTTAATCGAAACGTGAATAGAATTTTCAGTAATTATCGTCATTTCCATTTTATTTGTATGTGGGCTGCGATACCGCCCGGGTCCCCAGACCGAAGCAGGTGGTTTCCTTAGGGGGCCACACCCCAAGCCTTTGACTTAGAGGTCTGACCCACAAGGCAGTGGAGCATCGTGAGGAGATGCAGTCCCATGGTAGCCGGTGACCAAAGATTGCTTCATACGCCATTTGTTCCCGCAGGATACTGGAGCCCATGTGCACTATTGGTTTTGGGTCCGGTTAAAGCGCCGGACATTCGCTTTTCGTCCTTTCATTTTCGTAAACAACACCCCCGCCACGAGAAGGCAGTGAGTAGGACTTCCATGGCAGAGGCTGTATATGCGTGGCCGTGTGAGAGCGTTTCGAGAGGGAGGGCGGGCCCACACCACTCTCGGCCATACCACGGCATTTGGGGACTTCGTTCGGAGTCATAAGTACATGTCGCTCTTCCTCTCAGGCTGTCTGGAAATAGTGGATAATTGAAGAGTACCAAGAAAACAGTTGAAAGGTTCCTTGAAGAGGTACTTCCCACATATTCAACTGTCTCAGTAGAAAGAGGATCAGAGTTCTGTCTTTTTTGATGATAGTCTCACTAACACCTGACGTTTTACTACCTATTTCTTCAATAAGTTTGAAAAACTTTCAACCATTAACCACTGCCATTTCTTCCCATCTACTTTGTTTTCGTTGGCTGCCACACTTGACAATCATTGCTTAGACTATTTGCTAGTCTACAATTAGGTTGTTTTCGTTTTTCATAGTACTCAGAGACTGATGAGATGAGTTTGAGTTTACCAACTACTCACTAACCAGCATAGAGATCCACTTATATTTCTTAACCTTTTGGTTCAATCCAAGGGTAAATGTCATTGCTGTTTTCACACCTATTTGGATATCATGAAACTTAGATGGAAGTGAACATCGCTAGTTGCATCTTTAGTTGTTCCTACAATATCCTCTCGACGTTTCGTCTTTGAGGTGGACCATAATGGGTCTTCCAGTTGTCACTTTTCCGAGTCCAGTAAAATGCGAACAAAAATGACCTCTCACTAGAACATGATTAGAGTCGATAAGTGTTCGTGATTGAGTGTCAGAATTCTACAGAGCCTCTCAAAAATGGATGATGGCAACATGATCTATTCGTACTCATTGCTGAATAAATCTTGGTGGGTCGCCGTCTTAGACGATGTCTCTTCATGTGTTTAAAGTTGTTGGGTGTGTGTAGTTGCAGTAGACGGTTATCTATTTTCGTTCACTGAGCTGGGACAACTAAAGGTCTACCTAGGTGTCTTTTAGCTTGGTCCAGCCAACCTACTTAAGTAATAAAATTAAATGCTATGATTACTTTGGTTGAGCATTTAGATTCCGTTAGAAGAGCAGAGAACTTTCTGTAAAATTCATTTACTAGGATTACAGCCAGAGAAAGCATAGACACTGAAAATATGAAAAGGAAAGGTTGTGTATCTCTATTCTTCCGGGTTTCACGTCACCATTTAACTGAACAGTTCACAAGTGACTGTCTACTGAAATTCAGTCTACGAGAGTCTGTACTACCTTCGCTCTTAATCCTATGACTATCTCGACGAAGCAACAATAATTTATACAAAAAGGCCCCAAATATACGGAGGGTGAATTGAGTCAGTTCCTAATACTGATCATGCCAGGATCTTGCATGCGAGTTTCGGGGATGTAGAATATACCAATAACATGAGACTCTAATATATATAACTCCAATTTCGTCTTAAACAAAAAGCTAGGACGTGGACTTTTGGAGGAAAACTGATTACCTTAATGCCTCTAATGGCCGTCCTTTTATCAGTAATGCATCGAACAATTCAGTGTTGCATGTATTCAATCTCTGATAAGAAGATTAGTGAAAATAAACACAAAAATATAAAGAGAAATTAAAATATTTAACAACCAACACAAGTAATTTTTATCATCGGGACAATCTAATTCTTCACAATTTTATAACAATCTGTGCATAGGAACTTAAATGCGATATGAATTTTGTACTGACACAGAAATTCGATCCTAAAATCTCAAGTCAGAATTCCAGTAGCGATCGTTACATGCATAAACAATTACAACACCATTAATAAAAATATACCAACAAACGGATGACAAAGTTTGACAATAAATTCTAACAGTCCAAATTCTTCTGAAGTTTGTCAAGTCAAGCAATGTATTACATGTGTGCACTAAAATATTATTAGTGACGAACCAATTTCTTCCTAATATTTCATTCGTTGGTTGTAAATTAACTACTTTACGATTGGTTGGTGGGTTTTGTATACCTACAGCTATATTGAATTCGTTATATTTTACCCTTGTTTCTACTGAGTACTAAATATTTTGCTGATTTTATCACCTTGACTGTTAAGTAAACCAGTTATTGTTTACTGTAGTACCATATAATATAGATTTTCGAGAAGCTGGGAGATTTTTAGATTTTTATTGACTCTTAATGTGATGTTCCAGTGAACCTAATGCAATGTAACCTTTACGGCTGAATCATCCTGCTCAGAAAGTGTGGATCGACTAAAACAACTTGTTCATCCGCCAGAACCTAATTATTGAATTTTACTGACAAATATTTTTAAGGTAATTCTTGAAATAAACTTTAGTGATAACAGTGATCAGTTAATTTCAGGTAACAGAATGCTTCTTGGCTGCTATCCTAGATTATTTTTTGACAAACAATGATTATAATCACCTAAGTTTCATTCAGACTGAACAAAACAGTACGAGGTTATTAGTCAGTTGTTTACAGCTTTCGGATTGACATTCAGTTTGAGGTAAGCAGGCTGTTATCATTAGTGTGAAATAAATTCAAGAATGAGAGTAACTATTATTGTTAGGTGGTTAATAGTTGCATTGTCAAAAGATCATCGTTTGATCAGAGCTTTATCATTTTTGGAGGACTGTACTAAAGATGTTAAGTTGGAATGAGTTGTGAACTTCTATTGTTTTTTTTTAAATTTCAACATACAATCGCTATTGACTTCAGCTCATGTAATCAAAAAGTGGATTGGTGACCTACCTTTAGCATATCAATACCAAGTTGTCCTGCTGCGGGATAAACACTTTCCAAAGAAAGCAGTTGAAGTGCCTACAAAAAGTCATACACTAGATAACAAGATATGGTCAATTTCTATGAAACAGAAAAAAATGATTTTAAGAATTAGCAAACGTTTGGTCTCTAAAGTGCAAAGTGAACCCAACTAGAAAGTCGTATTTGAGGAAAATAAAACAGAACATCATCTAAAGGTTTTCTCAAGAATTAAAACTTTCTGCTTTAAAATATGATGCACATAGGCTACAGAAGAAATAAAAAATAGCTAACCCCTGCATAGAATTACGGAAAAAACACACGTTCTGGTTACAAAGGTTAAAGCTATGAATAATATCATGAAAATTGCATAAAATTGTTTTGCTTTTCTAAACACGATCAAATATTCGTACGCTACAAAAAGCACTTTATGCTTGATGATTATAAATACTACAGTTAACAAAATACATTGAAGAATAAAATTTATCTATTCTGAATTTACTCTCATTAACTAAGTTACGATAAGCGATTACTAACAACCGTCCAGAGTGTTCCTTAAGATACAGCTAGTGCAGATTAATCAACAATAAGTTAGAACTAAAATTACAAAAAAAGGTTACCATGACAATAAACAAATGGAATCTTGGACGAACTACAAATACGTATTGGAAGAAATAGTAAATTACTAGAATCAGTCAACTATTTACGAACAAATTACAACAAGTTAGAAAACCAATAACTCAAAATTCTCATTTTTATAAGATAAGGTATTACGGTAGGCTTTGAATCAGCAAGTAGACGACTTTGAATATAAAAACTGAGTTGTGTATAATCCCCCACTCTGGCGGTGAGATTGACGAGCATTTCGTAGAAACAATGCTGAAAAGAAATTATTTCGAAAAAAACGTCAATAAAGATTTAAATGTGAGAAAAAAAGTGCAGAATCATCTCATTATGTGACGAGAATTTGGAAGTGTAAAGGTCACTTCACATTCAAAACATCTGGCGTGGAATTTAAGATAGACAAAACATATAACTAAGGCAGATTAGAAAGTATCACTGTCGATTATTCACCTTCATATTATAATACGTTATAATAGTGACAACGTATGTGACAAATTTTCAGATATCAATGTTTTTGAGCTGTTCACATTCCGAATTTTATCAGAGCAATCTCTGTTACCACACATGCAACCCACACGGATACTCCAGTATTGCAAAAGTATATACGTTTCTGATATGCTTTTCGGTTGTGACTGGCAGTGGAATCAGTGACGTGTACTTTTTCCAAGCTGGGACTCGTCAGTTAGTATTCAAACAGATAGATATTTAGTCCGAATTTCAGTGTACATGTAAAAATTAGGATGCTAATTTGTCCATATAACGTGTTATACATAGGGTAAGATGTGCACCCTGGACTCCACTGCTAGTCACAGTCCGAAAATACACAAAAGATAAGTGAAACTGGTAAATGTAGTTCTTTGGATTCCGATCCATTGAGTAAATTGTAACGTGACCAATGCAGGATCTGATTGTCTCTTGAGAAATCCTGTAAGGTGACAAAAATGAGGATTTAAAGGAAAAAGGTAAACGACTGTTCGATGCTTCTTATTTCTAGTAGTTTTTAGAAGTAGACAACCTTAACTGACATAACATAAATTCCAAAAGGAATTTTAATCATATTTCGCTATCAATCATTTAGTCACGAGCATAACAAGGGTCTACTTTTTTTCTTAATTCCGGTTTAAAATAAACAGTGGACATGAAACACATCATATTGATATGTATTGATAAAAAACAGCTTAGGATGATACTGAGAAAAGTCTTAGGAAATACTATTTGGTTGCACTGCCAAGTCAAAACCTTTTAGTATCTTCCTGAAAATTCCTACTTCTCGTATATGAACAGTCAACGTTGGCAGCTGACTGGCAAATCCGAAATAGTGAGGTGAAAACTCTGTGGAGCGAGAAAATTTGCAGTAAAAGTCCCAGCGTATCCCACGAAAAAATCATATATCGCCTTTTATCTGAAGAGTGGTTAATCTTTCTATTAGAAGGTTCATAATTGCAGAACATAGCCATGAAAATAAATTCCTTAAATAAGTTATGATGCCAGGTAGTAATTGACCACTGACAGAGGTTACCATCACTTATTTATTAAGAATCCGTCAAAAACACTGAATGGAAACATAAGCTTTTATAAACAGTAAATATGGGTTCATTTGAGATATAATTATATATATTTATCTAACGATACAAATGTTGTAAGCACAGTTGTAATCATTTTTTCTTACTTCATGTCTCTACTTAGCATAATTCTATATGGTGCAACTAACAAGTTTAGCTAGATAAAACTATTTTAATTATAACACTAAAAATTGATGATACTCACATCTACACAAATGTCGTGCTCTGAAAATATGCGAATATATTCAATCAGTATAGAGCGAAACAATTTACGGACTTCTAGTCTCTATAAATAAGAAAGACCAGCAAAGCATTCGTTAAGTTGCATTCAAAATAAGTTCACAAAATAGAAGTTATTTATGGTTTGAATAATTATCTGAAAGCTAGGATATTTCGAAAAAAAAACATACACAGAAGTGTTATATCCCGATAAGAATAATGAATGGTAACTGTTGGAATGCATTTCTGGACAAATACTATACACATATTTTTATTGTATGGTTGCTAAGTAACTAAACTATTCATATTCATGTCCCTCTTATTATGAGTTTTATTTTGACCCATAGACTATTATTATACGATTTACCGTTCTTAAGTTATCCCCAGTCTATTAATTACAGTCTCCTACATTCACAACCAAATTTAGCTAAATCTTGTGCAAATGTTGTTTCCTATTTTATGGTACGATGTGGTCTGTTTGGTTTGTATACAAACCCAGTATGTTTGACATACATGATTCATGTCGCAGAGACTGAGATTGGTGTTCTGGACTTAGCAGGTGGGGCTAGGCAGGAAGCTGGACCGATAAGGACTCTGGACTACTCGTACAGGTTTATGCGTCATTGGTCCGGTCGATAGATCACTGTTCTCTAATTGGCGGTATCATTACGTTATACATTGATAGGGGCACAAACCCACAAGTTATAACAAGAAGTGAAAACAGTCTAAAGCATTTGTTCCTTTAGAGGATACTGGGTGGAAAATTTTAAAACAGCAACACCGTCCAAGAATAAGATATTTTATCTAACTGGATACAGAAAGATGCATGAACTAAATGTAGTAGTAACAAGTTCTGTAACTCATAAGCTTTACAAATGGAACAGTAGATACACTATATTAGTAAGCACAATAATCAAAGCCAAGTAACTAATGGGACAAGAATAAAAAACTTTATTTATGTGAACAATAGTAGGAAAACAGAAAAAAAGCGTTATCACTTAAGTTTGGTTTGGGGATATACTGCTTGAATATATTTGTTTGATTAGTACGTGATACGGTTATGAGAGAGATGAAAGGTCTACTTTTCAGATAGATACAAATAAAATTAATTGATACACTAAGTGAATAGCGAAGTCTTTTCTCGGATAGTAGTATTAACTGATTTAGGACTATGCTAATGGATCGTAAACCGAAAGAGACGGAGAAAAACAAGTTATTTCTTTGGTTCAGTTTCTGCTTGAAAAGGTCTACAACAATTTCATTGCAACAGAATGACGCCTCACCACAAAAACTCTAAGCGAAATTTAAAAAAACTGACTACTTCCCGTTTTATCTAGAGATTGGTTTGGTTAGGTCTACGGTTAATGCTAATTAAGAACAATCGTAATTTCCGTAATAGGAACAAAAACTGTTCTGAACTCAATGACTCGGGAACTGTTACGCACAACACTTCAACTATAATCCCTAAATGATGAAACCCAAGAAGGCAGGAGTGAAAAAAACCTAGATGTTCAACGAGAACAAATTTGAACATATAGCAACAAACATGACCTTGGGACAGTAAAATTAGCGAACTAGAAGTGGTAAAATCCAATCAGAGAACAGCGAAATCAGTACGAAGATATGCACCAGAGAAATATACCACAGATTATGGCTACAAAAAGGAACTTTACATTTGTTGTGACTTTATGTCCGGCTTTTATCACGTGATTTATCCACCAATCAAAATACGACTTATACAACCTTAGCACTGTGACAAACCAATGACTTTCGACCGGTAAGGGAAGTCTAGTGTCCTTATTGGTCCTATGTCCGCCTAGCCCGTCCACTTGAGTCCAGAACACCAAATACCAGCTTCCAATGAGCGAATCGAATCGGATCAGATCGAATTATTTATTTCAGACTTACTGGGTTTATATATCAAACAAACAGACCGCAACGCACCATAAAATAGGAAATAACATTTGTGCACAATAAAGCCAAAAAGCGACTGTGAACGTGGGAGGCAGTAGTCAATAAACTGAACATAGCTTAAGAACAGTAAATCGTACAATTATAAATTATAGGTCAAAATAAAGCTTATAATAAGATGAATATAAATATACATAATCTAATTATTGAACAGTTATACCATAAGAATTCACAGATAATATTGGTCAATAAATATATCAGAAGTTACTCGTGATTTAATCTTCGCTCGGATATAATAACATTAACTAAAAATTACCAAATAACTTGAGATATTTTTACCACATTTTTACGAAACAATTCAATATTCTATAAACATGTGACAAAAAATAAGATAACGTCATGAAAACCGGTAACTGGTGATATTTTAACAGCTTATCTCATGAAACATCACCACCTAAATTCTTGTCTTAACTGTTTACAGATATCAGTTACATGACAAATCCTATTTGAAAAATTAGATATTTAAGTGTCTGCGTCAGAATTCCTCATATATATTTGGATGGTCACAAAAAACTTTCGCTTTGATTTTCTGTAGGAAAATTTAAAATGTAACCGGTTTTCATCACAGAAATATATTCATTGTTCCGTTTAAAGCCTAATAACAAAATAGAAAACCGTATATTCTCTCATTCAAAGGTGAATGGCCGGTGATTAAATAAAGACTTACAGGTTTGAACAATATTATTTTAATTAGTATGAGTTCGAAAACTAATCAAACTCATTTACCTCAACACCTTGGTTCTTTAAAAATAAATGTGAATATATTTCAGGTTGGGAAATGATGTAGGTTGACGAACCCGCATGTACGCCTTTGGATATTGTCTTCTGTCGAAAGAAAATATGAAAACTTTGAAGTCCTTTTAAAAGTGTGAGAAACAAAATGAAAAAACAAAAATATCTATATAAAGAGGTAGTAAATCTTAAAGTCTGCTTTCCAATACATTTAAACAGAAACTCTTCTCATACTGAACCAGTAAAGTTTGCTTAAACTAGGGTCATCAGAAGAATGGATAACTACCCCTGGTTTGATTCAAACAATGTCCTACTATCTGAGAGAAGAGTCCCTAATTAGTTGATGTATTAACTATTTACTTTAACATTTACCTGAATATCAAACCTATTTAATTAAAAACGTGTATAAACATCGGTGACCAGTCATATTCCAAAACACTCTAAAGTTCGGAAAGCTATAGATGCATCTAAAATAGAGAAACGAATAACCTTTAAAATGTTACCTCCAAATTTTATCAGCTATGACATTTTATGAATACTCATCAAACTATGATCATAAGTGAGGAAATATGAATAAAAAACAAATAAAGGGAGTGTGACTGGTGTTTATTGAACAGTTTCATTTGCAATATTTGAAAAATGTGCAAATGGCCACAAGTAAAATGTCTATTTTTTCATTCATCACCGGTGAACGATTTCGGATCGTAAGTTTTATTTCTGATGTATTTGAGGTAGTGGCTTATGTGTGATGAAACTACATGAATTAAATCGGTACAATAGAGGAAAATATGCAGGAGCTGAATATGATTCAAGTAAAGTCTTCGAAGTATTGGCAATAAAAATGTATTTATCCACATTAAATTGAAAGCATCACTCACAACTATAGAACAATGGCATGATGCTTCCGAAGCACTTGGCATTTTAAGATCAGAATCAGTGAGCAATTTACTCATGACGTTTGTCCCACAGTAGCCCACTTCACAAATCCGTTTAAAGACGAACGCAAACTGATCTAGTCGTTGATTCAACCCATATCCATCGAATTTGTAGTTCAGAGGTTTGTCAACATTGGAAGTAACCTCTTCGATACTGTCTAACGCCAATTTAGAGCAGTACTCTAACAGTACACTTTTGCCACTGGATCGATGAAGTAGAAAATCCACAACTAGGTTCTGTAAAGTAATAACACCCAAATTGAATAATCAATGTTCTTAGTTTTACCAAATAAAGAAATCACTAAGTATTACAGGATGTTAAACTATTGACCTTATTCCGACTATAGAAACACACAGTTCAATATAGATAAGCGAAAAAGTAAACTTCACTGACTAGAACGCTTTACAATGACTTGTGGTTCATCTAGAAAATGTTAAAAAACTGTCCCGCTTTACTTATAACACCAAGGAAACGAGAATTAGTGAACACTAGAAAGTATGTAAATATCCTACATAGACGAACACTTGTCAAAGACGCTAAGAACGAATAGTTGGGCATACAAAAAACTGCTCAAACCAACCTAACGCAATAAAATATCTTGTGCATTTTAAGCATGGTGAGAATCTGATCAGGAAACAAAATGAGCTGCTTCGGAAAGCATAGAATACTTGGTGTGTTTATTATTTTACAAAGAGGGTACTACGGAACTGACTTACGTAAAGCAACAGAACACTGTGAATTTGACCACTATTAGTGGTTTACATGATGGAAAATATAGACGAAATATTTGGGTGAGAAAGTGGCCTCATTATGATTGACAAAAGTGAAGTAGCCTAAAAATTATGAACAGCTAACAATGGGTTTGAAGGTTAACAAATAACAGAATTTTGACTAACAATGAAAAGAAACATCGTACAAAGGAGATCGCAACATTAGATCCATAAATAATCTACCAGTAATAATAATAACGCAATTGCAAAGATGTTCCAAATAATTCAATGCATAAGCCTTTAGTGGACGAAAATTATGGTAAATCAGTAATCAATTAACTACTAAGACGAGCACCTTAGTGAAAAATCTATAGGTCTTTTCAGACAAAAATAGACAAACAAAACTCACGTGATTAGCAATTAGTTTTGGAAAAACCATAGTATTCAAGCATAACAGCCATGAGCAACCTAGAAGAAGAGTTTGAACGAAAACAATAAAAAAACTACAAAAATGCTTGAATATCCAATCTAGACAAATTGGTATGTTGATAAATATATACTTAAACGGACGTATTAAGGAATAATTATAAATAAAAATAATATATTTGTAATATCCCAATGAGTAGAAAATTGAATTTTCTGACGTTTCGTCACTTAGTGTAAGTCACTTCTTCAGAGAATAAATAACCAAATTAAAATTAATTCAAGTTTAAATAGTACAACGGAACAATGCAAAAATAATATTTGATCAATCAAAAATCAGGTCTGAACAAGTTGATGTATTAAGGAATAATTAGTTTACTTAAAGAATAGTTAACTCCGACAAACTAGAACACACTGATGAAGTGAAAGATCTACATAATGGCGAGAAGTGGGTTCAAACACCAGAATGAGCTACATCTAATGGGTTGAAGACATAAACCGGAGCTGTTGAAATATAATTCGAATCCAGTACCTAGTTGTTGATGAAGTAATTTTTATACATTTATCCTAAATTTTTGCTACCGATGAAGAATGTACATACTTCTGTTTGCAACGAGTATGCTGACGAATGGGACATCGATGAGAAAACATAGAAAAGAAAACGTTTAGACAGAATGATCTGTTGTCCAATTGGGAATTTTTACCGTATTTGTTCACAACGGAACAGCTTTTGAACATCGTGAAATAATATATATTCTTATTAAGTTTTTTAACTTTACCTTATCGTGAAAATGATATTAAGTGAAGAGATGTTAACACGAGTAACCCAGAATAAATGATAAATGACTGCCAAATCTTCCCATACTAAATGTATACTGTGAACAATACTTCAAAAAAAAAGATTCTACTTACATTATTTGGCAATATTAAGAGCTAAAGTGATGAGTATAAAAATAATTTTAAAAAGCTGCCGGTCAAGAGGTGGTAACCACTTGAATTATCCCACAACTGCTTATAGTATTGTTTAGGAAGAAAACAGCTAATACAAACCACGTTTAAACAGCACTAACTTAACAACTGATTAATCACTGAGAAGTAATCAGTGTCCTGTTTGTCTAGTCCTTTCGTGCTGATCTAATTCTATTGATCAAGTTGGAGTGTGATCACTTAAGTGGTTCGACATTGTGATCACTCGGTTGAGATATCAGTTGGCTGAAAGCTCCCAACAAGATTTCCGGGATTGGATTGAAAAAGCAGGGAGGTGGGCAGTTTATAAGAAATAGTTGTGCTATGATGGCTTTGTGTGGGAATGGCATTTATTATTGAGTCACGATTCTTTCGGATTCTAGAGTCCATACAATCCATAAGCTTGCGGTGTTTTCAGATATAGCTCAGAGTAGAAGATATAGACAATCCAGATATGGTTTGTGACTACATTTTTCATAGAAATGAAATGAACTTCCATAACTGAAAGAAGTCTTTCGAGCTGTACTTTCAACCGAACTGTATCTCTCATGAAAAACCACTCTTGTTCATTTATTTTCAGTTTGTACTACTCCTCTCTCCTTTATTTCTTTGTATGTTGTCGCTTTGTTTGTGTATGCATATGCAAAATAAAACAATCAAACTTGGATACGAAATAAGTTATTTGAAGCTGACTTTGAACATTGATAGTAATTATGAAGTTATGCAACCGTGATTGCGTTACTCAACCGACAACTTTTGTTCATTTGGTATGTACATTTAGTGTATTTAACAATTCTTTAAATAAGTTTCTAGCGATCCCAAGTTAGAAATTTTTCAAGTACACTCCGTTAACTCAAGAAAGGAACAAATTGCCGGATAGGTTACAGAACTTCTGCCGGATAATTTAACATAATAATAACACTCACCGAGACTGTTGTCAATTACAACACCGCACAGGTGAATAATCCAATTCATTGAATCTGCGAGAATATGTAAGGTTAAGGAGTTTTGTTACACAATGGTAAAATTAAGGAGCATGATTAGAAACTTAATAATATTGTAAGATTTTTTGGTATTTGTGTGTGCGTATGTAAGAGTGGGAAAATCCTTCATACATGCATAATATATGAAATCAGTATTTTGTTTCACCTTGATCACTAGGTTTTTCTTCTAATCTATCTATTTTTCGTATATCATATTTAATCTTCGATACAGGACAAGGTTAGGGTACATATTTATTAACAACTGCGTTTCTTCTACAGTATTATTTCTTTTTTGGTACATTTTAGCTGATAGTGCTTTTTTGGCCTCTGATTATAGCGACTGCCATACTGATTTATCGCTTTTTGACTACCTTTGCTTGAACTAATTGATTTGAATAGTTCCTTTATGGATTGAAGTACGTTTCCAGTTTGTTGGAAGTCCCTACGATTCTCAGCGGGTAGTTAACATTCACGATTCTTTATGTTTTTTGAACTTATCAGCCTGTAATTCACGTTTGAGTGTACTAAAATTAGCTAGCCAGTATGGTAAAACCGTGTTCTTTCCGTCACAGGATACATCATTATTCTCTGATGGGTAATTAATTTTATAGTTTTTAATATTTCTTGCAAATGATATTTTTATGCCTTGGTTCTATTCGATTTCCAGAACGAAAACTGACTGTACAGCCCACTTCCTAAAACTATTTAATTATACTGTATGATCTACACATTCATACCTGTTTAATAACAAATTGGTACCATACTTGTTTATCAAATCATGATGTTTATGCAATATCAAGTAGTGTATGTCACTAACTAGAAAATTGGGTATTGCAGCTTACGGTTCCAAAACTTGCATTTCTGGTCGTTACAAATTTGGTGGATGATAGGTTAAGCAAATCAAACTTAATGACACCACTAGGTTAGTTGTAACTTTGAAGGGTTTACGGAATCATGGCAAATAAAATAACCCTAGCAACTCATTATTTTGAAGGTTACAAATTGTAAAACCGAAAATAGACAGAATGAGATTTACATTTATATCAAGGATACATAAATCGATAGGAATTTGAGCATCCAAGTTTGTTGATAATGAGGGAATGACTGAAAAGCAAAATCAAAATACGTTAAGCAGATAGTTTACGGTTCCCAAAAAGAGCTATTAACACTGATTTGCAGATTATTATGTAATAAAACATTGACAATGTGAAATACATCTAGAAACTTAAGTCAACCCATAAAAGGAAAAATTAAGAGATGCGAATACCTACAAGAAGATATGATCGAATTTCACCAAATTTGGTAGTTTGAGCTTTTAACTACGGCATTTAGCATATTTCTAAATGACTGATAATGAGTTATAATATTCAATGGTTACAGTTTGGTCATTGAGTATTCACAGAAAATGAAGTGCATACAACCGAATTCGAATATGAAAATGAACGTCACTGAACACCAATATTTTCGTATACTCGTCATCTAGAACTGCTCAATTTCAAGTTCGAATGCAATATATATATTTATATTTCCCTAGAGTGCCTCGGAAATCAGGGTTATATGGACAAAAGTTGCTATAAAGCATACATGGTAGGGTAAAGAGCCCATAATTGGTAGTTTAGTTACGTTTGTAGAAAAATATGTAAACGTAGCATGTAGAAGTGATGAACATCAAAGCAGATAAAAAATGTTTAATCTAATACACTCCAAGAACAGACAGCACCGAGTATTTACAAAAATGTATTTGTTCTGTACTATAATACTACTATTAATTGACAGTGCAGTACAAGCACAATCTGGACCACTTCAAGTAGATATTACTTCTTGAACCACTGTGCAATAGTGTGTGCTATGGAAGTTAAGTGACAAAAAAATACAGATCGATAAAAATGTTTCGCAGATTTTTAAGATCTAACAGTGATGAGTTTAAATGGCAACTCAATACACACTATACTGACTTAAACTACATGCCATACTACAGAATTATATGACAACTAAATGCGTCATTCTAGTCCTATTAGTTATCTCGTCCTATTTCACGTAACTAATTCAGAACTCGTATGTTATTTTTTACATAATGTGGTTGTTCATGTGTCTATCTGTTTAAAAAATCGATTATATCACCTATATTAATTGTACGAATCATCACTTAACTCCATTCCATTGAATTGGACGATTATCTAGTTATATTACAAGTGGTCTACGAACAATTTAATTACTAAATCAATACTCTTATTTACATTGTGTTAAATAAGTTACTGATTGTTGTCGAAGTTGAAATACGAACTCATTAATATAGACAGCACACAGAACAGATATTCAGTCCTCCCAGGTTTTTAGTGGTATCTTAGTTGTGATAAACCTGTGATGAATACAACCCATAAATCAAACCAATCTCCACAAAACTTCTTCAACTAAACATATGCATTTTATCAAGAAATTGTTGAGCAGGAGATACGCACTTTTAGTGAAAAGACTGAATGGTGCAATCGAAATATCACGTAATATAGGTGAATGATGAATTACATTGCGAACGGTTCCATTAAGGGCAATATCAAAAACTGACGTAACCTGGTAAAAAAAATAATAATAATACGGGAAAAATAGAAACATCACAATAGTTTAAAACTTCGAAAATTTGTAGGTAGCAGCCCAATAGAGATGTTAGTTGACAGAGATGATAAAAGACAGATTGAAAGTAATTCATCTGGAAAAAGATACATGCATGATTAGTGATAAATCTGGATTTTAGAATTTTCACAGTTCTAGTGAGAAGCCGTTACCAGTGGAGTTCAACCGGTCTGTTGTGAGATAACAACTCACTGAAGACAATGGTGTACGGTGGCGCAACTTCGTGGATTAGTTGAAGTTAGACATTAACACCGTTGGATGCCGGCTCAGTGGTCTAGTGGTTAAGTGCTCGCGCGCGAAGCCAGTAGGTCCTGGGTTCGAGCCCCGCGTGGTGCGGGATCGTGGATGCGCACTGCTGAGGAGTCCCATACCAGGACAAAACGGCCGTCCAGTGCTTCCAGGTTTTCAATGGTGGTCTAGCTTCAACTGACTCATGATTTCAAAAACTGTGAAAATTCTAAAATTCTCCACAAAACCCATTCTGATAAAAATAACAAATGAGGTTAACGTACTAATCAAGGGGTAAGGAAGAACAAAATTTAAGGGTCAGATAATAGTCCAATTGACAGATATGAAGAAAAACGACAAAACAACAAAGGTCATAATAATAGACTGAATAATAATCAAGAAAACTTGTAAAAGGTAATAATAATAAATGATTAGAGTTTAAAGTGCAAAATAGTAATAATAAAAGCGCATCAAAAAAACACCTAGAAACATACCCATTAAGGGAATTAGGGCCAGGGAAGGATGAGAGTTTGGACAAATCGTTTCTGCACGCAAAGTTCAGGCTTTAGTTTGTGAATTGCCAATGCCTCTGCGGTGCATAAAATATTGATTCGAAGCCCCTTCGATCCAGTTCCTTTGACTCTGTAAACTATCTTAAACGAAGAGTCTTTTGGAGCGAATGGTTAGTTAACATTCTACAACCTGTTAAAAATCATATCAACAAACACAATTCTCTTGATTCCTTTGACTTTGTCGACTCCATTAGAAATATCAATGTATCCGGTAAGAAAATGTTCTCATTAGACGTCACTTCTCTTTTTACAAATGTTCCCCTCACAGAAACCATTTGCTTTTTATGTGACTATATTGAAAACAATAATCTTGATATGTGTATCCCGAAAGATTACCTTAAAGAACTGATTCTACGATGTACGCTCAACGTGCAGTTCAGATTTAATGATGTTTTCTATAAACAAATAGATGGAGTTACAATGGGCTCGCCATTGGGTCCTCTCCTGGCTGATTGTTTTATGACGAACCTAGAAAATTCGGTACTTCGACCAATAATTGAAAGGTTTCATTTATATAAAAGATATATGGATGACACTTTCATTATTTGCGAAGAAGATAGTGACCTCAATGATATTTTGAATATTTTCAATAACTGCCACCCATCAATCCAATTCACCTTAGAAGCAGAAACAAACCAAGAATTTCATTTTCTTGATATCCATTTAAAAAGAATGCCTGACGGTTTATTACAGAGATCGATATACAGAAAACCCACTTGGAATGGACAATACACGAACTTCCACAGTTGGGTTCCATTAATTAGAAAAAGGAATTTAATTCATTCTTTATCCTCAAGGATCAGGCAAATTTGTTCCAATGACACAATAGATGGGGAACTATTTTATCTTCGACAGACCCTCATCAAAAACGGTTATCCACCGAGATTCATCGATAGAAACTTGGTACCTAGACCTCATGACAAAGCATTGACAGTAGGGAAAAAACTCTATTTATGAATATGGAATTTAAGGGAGATACGGCTGCTGAAATCCTAAATAAACGGATTTCGAAATCATTGAATAAAACATTCCACGCAGCTAAGCTTCGAATCATCTTCTCATGTGGGGTATGTTACATAGGCCGCACAAAGCGATCATTATTCAAACGCATCTCGGAACATTATCCGGCTTGGCTCTTGAAAGGGGAGCGAAAAACAATCACGAGTTCTATACAGGAGCACTTAATCAACTGTGGACATATCGCTCCAAAAGACTCTTCGTTTAAGATAGTTTACAGAGTCAAAGGAACTGGATCGAAGGGGCTTCGAATCAATATTTTATGCACCGCAGAGGCATTGGCAATTCACAAACTAAAGCCTGAACTTTGCGTGCAGAAACGATTTGTCCAAACTCTCATCCTTCCCTGGCCCTAATTCCCTTAATGGGTATGTTTCTAGGTGTTTTTTTGATGCGCTTTTATTATTACTATTTTGCACTTTAAACTCTAATCATTTATTATTATTACCTTTTACAAGTTTTCTTGATTATTATTCAGTCTATTATTATGACCTTTGTTGTTTTGTCGTTTTTCTTCATATCTGTCAATTGGACTATTATCTGACCCTTAAATTTTGTTCTTCCTTACCCCTTGATTAGTACGTTAACCTCATTTGTTATTTATTGTCGAATCCATTTTTGTGATACAATCCATTATATCCTTCTATAGACATACATTTGCCATATAACTATATATACGAATGTATAGCTTAAGTAAATGATTTCGTCGAAAAGAAAATTTTCTTCGCTGAATTCTTCTTTTTCTTAAACATGATTACATTTAACGTTGAACAATAACTAGCTGGAGATCAGCATCTAGAAACGAGATTTCTCTTATTCCAATACCTATATTGATGTATTTAGATGAAGCACTTTCATTACACAAAACAAGGAAGCAATACCAATAACAAGACATCGTTTTATTATTAAGTTGAAAAATACGAGTAAAACACACCACCGGTATATCTATTTTTAGAGGATTAATCTAACGAAAACCCAGTCCACGCAATGAACATTATGTGTAATGACCACTGCAGTAACTGGCATGAGACCATATAATTGTGAGAATAAAACAGTGAAATATTTCACAAGCGAATATAACTGTATATACACACCTTTCTGCTCTGATAGTGTACCATGAACAAGTTATCCAATACACTGAATGATACAGGACCCTGAAAATCTAAAATTACGAGGTGTGTCAATACGATGGGATCTTCTCTAAAATAAAAAGGGATCCAATAAACTCCAGAAACAGAATGCTCACATTTTTAAAGTATAAAAACTAATAGTTCGGGTAAGATTTGGTTCGTTATTTAGCTTTACGTAGCGGAGAGTACCAAAGTACAAATCCTCATATCTGAAAAGAAAAGTTAAAAAGTACAAGAACCTACTTACAATAAAGCTAAAAAACAGTGTTTCTGTTCAATCGATATGGTATCACCATTGGCCCCTACCGATGTAGGAGACAGAAACTTTGGTCCTTTTGTGATTGTGCCGGGTGTCTATGAGATAGGAAAAAGATTATTGAAGATTTTCAATCTAAAATAAAAAGTTAACGAAATTAGCAGTAACCTTGTTGTTCAAAAATATCTTCAATGAGCGAAAAAATACTTTAATTTCCAATCTGTTGTCAATGAAGATTATGTGGGTTTACAATCTTCTAAGAAAGAAAATACTGAAACAAATATGAATATTTACTGATTGAGAAAGATTGATTCAAAATCAAATTTTGATATTTTTATGTGACTCGAATGAATAAAATATGTAGTACAATTCACCTCTTATTCATTATTACAATGGCTAATTAATAAATATGAATTCCAATAAGCTTATTTGTCGACTAATTCATTTTTGATCTGATTAAAACTCCTTGAAGTGGTTAAAATAACTTGAAAGTACTCTAAAAACATGGTGTACACAAATACCGTGTAAACATTTTTTTAATTATTTAAATTTTGGCTTTATGAAGGAAGACTTTCTCTTTAACATTTATTACTTTCTACATTATCAAACTAACTGTTTGTCGATACGATGGACTGATGACTCATGAGTTTTTCCAGTAGATTCCTCCAGTCATCACATATGCGACAAAGGATAGTGACATACACAATTTTGTTTAGAAAAATAACTGAGTTCCGCTGAAAATGGTATACGTTGAAAAGTCGGAATAGTGGCCGGAATTTTAAAACACAGAAATTTCAACTCCATCTTACCTTAAGTTGAAACATATGTAGTTTTTTCTCTTGGTCTGAAGTGATACAAATATGTGTCTCTGGGTTCCATAAAAACCAGCAAGTGTTCAGAGGTAAATAACTATTTAAGCGTAGAGTATTCTTCTCAGGTAATACCTAATATGATATAGAAACAAGAACGGTTTGAAATGCTGACTTACACGGAGAAACAATAAGGTGAAAAATGGAAAGTTAAAACCAACCACAGCCTTCAACCTAAAGATCTGATCCACAAGGCAATGCAGCAACGTAAGGAGATACAGTCCCATGGTAGATGGTGGCCAACAATTGCTTCATACGCCATTTGTTCCCTCAGGATACTGGAGTCCATGTGCACCATTGATTTGGAATCAGGGTTTCCCTACTCACCTAAGTGAAACCTCCGTGTCCACCAACTGGCTTAAAGCGCCTGACATTCGCTTATCGTCCACTCAATTTCGTAAACCACATCTTTACCGTGAGCAGTTAGTGAGTAGGACACATGAATATTGGTACAAGAGAGCGCCAATATATATGCGCCACACAAAACAATGAAAATTCGAGAGGAATACAAAGAAAGAAAAAAAAACCTAAGGAGCGCAACAAAAAAAAGAGAGAACAATAACGAAGAGATTGGTGTAAGGTAATGTGCTAGTAATCAGGGAACGCAAAGGTACAATCAGAAGAAATCTTTCAGGTAAAGGAGACACAACCACTTTTTATGAAGAAAGTAAAAGAAGGTTACAGCAGGATCGCCACTGGCTTCTATTCTGAGCCATATCTGATAACGTCTCTAGCGACTTTGTAGCACCATCTCTCAGACCCCAACCAGGGAGTCGTGAAGGACCGACAGAAGCCAGTCCTTTGCAGCTTTCTTTCATGCCACGACACCATGTCGTGCACTGACCACCTCTTCGCTTTTTCCAACCAGTCCTAGAGTCGGCAAATAATGCACGACGTGGAATTCTCTGGGACGACATTCGGAGAACATGTCCAAGCCAACGAAGTCGATGTTTCAAGATGGTGACACCAATTGAATTATCATCTCTGTGCCCGAACACACGATGCCGAACCTCTGCATTACTAACATGGTGTTGCCACTGGATGTCAGCAATCCTTCGGAGACAGCGATGATCGAACACGGAGAGTCGTCTAACGTCCTCAACTCGGAGATGCCAGATTTCACAAGCATAGAGCAAAACTGCTCTCACCGACGCGTTGTAGATCCGACTTTTTACAGCCAGACTAACATCACGAAGGCGCCATAGATGGCCCAGATTGGCATAAGCCACTCTGGCTTTCACTATACGTGGATTGATCTCATCACTCACAACCCCACCAGCACTTATGCAGCTACCCAGATACACGAACTTCTCGACTACGTCTATCTGCTCACCATCCAGGGTGAGTACAGGATTAAAATCCTGCCAGTCTTGTAGGAGTACTTTGCACTTCGAAGGTGCAAAGCACATACCATACCTACGGACACTGATTGCCAACTGATTAAGTGCGGATTGCATAGCTTGAGCATTATCGCACAGTAAGACAATATCGTCCGCATACTCAAGGTCGAGAAGTCTTTCTCCAGGCAACAGATCCACACCACCATTACTTACATCCATTAGAGCTGTTTCCAGAATGTCATCGATGGCAAAGTTGAAGAGGAATGGTGAGATTGGGCAACCCTGCCTAACCCCACTGCTCGAATGGAACAATGGAGAAAGGTGGTTGTATGCCCTCACTCTGCCTGAGGTGTTTTTATATAGGGCTTTTAGGATGTTAATAAACTTCTCAGGCACACCCTTCTTCAATAGACAATCCCAGAGAACAGTTCTGTCCAACGAATTGAAGGCAGCCCTGATGTCAAGAAACACTACGATTGTTGGCCTTTGATAAGTATGGCGGTGTTCTAACATTTGGCGGAGGGTGAAGATATGATCAATACATCCTCGACCAGAACGAAACCCAGCCTGCTCCTCGCGAGTCAATCTTTCTCGGGTTTTGAACAACCTACGAAGAATGACGGGAGCCAATAGCTTGGAGGCAATCGGAAGTAAACTTATCCCCCGATAGTTGTTACAAGAACGACGTGAACCCTTTTTAAAGATAGGGACAACTATCGACTCATTCCATGACGTTGGTACACTCTCTAGCTCCCAAACCTTTGTAAACAACGTCGTCAATTCCTTAGTCAAAAAGTCACCACTATCTTTAAAAAAAGCCGGAGGTAAGTCATCTGGGCCAGGTGATTTGTAACGCTTCAAGAGTTAGAGTTCCTTGAGGACTTCCTCCTCGTTTGGTGGATCAGTCGTCACCGGCCATGGAGGGCAGGACAGTCTGACCGATGTTGCCGGAGCAGCAGGCCAGTTGAACTGCCATTCGAAAAATTCTGCTCATCGTCCAAGACGTCGTTGGATGTCAGTGATTGGCATCCCATCATCCTCACAGATTGTTTCACTCACACCAGACTTCTTGCTGCCAGTGGCTCGGACGAGTTGAAAGAGCTTCCGGAAGTTACCAGATGCAGCTGCTGCTTCCAGCTCATTAGCACGCTTCGACCACCAGGCTTCTCGGTCCTTACGCAAGCTTTGCCCAATTTCCTTACGTAACATCTTTTGTTTATGGTCAAACTCACGGTTACCCGGAGTAGACCGACAGGCTTCAATGAGTTGTAAGGAACCTGCAGAAACCCAGTGCTTAAAAGCGGGACGTTTCGCGAACCCACAACTGACTGTTCCCGCCATTTTCATGGCGTCATGCAATTGCAACCAATGCTCATCTATACTTTTCGGTGGAATGGTAGCTAGCCTAGAGGCTAGCTCGGTTCGATACTTATTTGCAACAGAAGTTGCAACCAGCTTGCTAATATCAGTCCGTTGGTGGCGGTCACTTCGTTGTCCACTGAAAAGTAAGGCAAGATTGGCGCAGACCAAGGCATGGTCAGAGTCCAGATAGGTACTCCAAAAGGAGCGGCAGTCTTTTACACAACCACGCCAGCCGTAGGTGATCGCGATGTGATCAATCTGAGTCCAGGCTTGAGATGCAGAGGGAGGACGCCAGGTGGCACATCGGCGATGACTGTGCCGAAAGTTAGTGCTAGCCAGAAACAGGTTGTGGTCTGTGCAAAGTTGCAGTAGACGGTCCCCGTTATCTGACCTGCGACCAACGAGTGCCCATTGGCCACCTAAGCGACTCTCTTCTGTGCCTAGACGCCCGACGTGAGCATTCAAGTCTCCGGCTAGTACTACAATATCTGTCGAACGCACTTTCTGGAGAAGAACAGATAACTGGTGGTAAAACTCATCCTTGATTGCATCTGGGCTGCAATCTGTCGGAGAATAGGCGGAGATGACGAAAAGACATCGTTTCTCACGCCGATTTCTTCTCACTTTGATGGAACTTTCCAATCTAACAGCACATAACCGACTCTTAATGGGGATCCAATCGATTAGTGCTGGCTCAGCTCTAGCACTTAGTGAGAAATCAACGCCAGCAAGACCAGACGAAGATGCCACAGGGTCCCCGGATAAGCGCACGTAAAACAAGCTTTTTGAAGTGACAGATGAAGAGCGAATTTGTAGTACTTCACCAGAGTCTTGAATACGGGTCTCAGATAGACAACAAACATCAATATTAAGACTTTCCAAAGACATAGCCAGCCCTATCTGTTGACCAACCTGCATAAGTGTGCGAACGTTGAAGGCAGCCAGTTTGAATGGCGCACGTGGTTTCAGAAAAACTGCTTCTGTACTCATATTCGATGGTAACATACAACTTTCAACCGGACAGTGACTCGAGAACGTTTAGATACAGTCGGATTTCCACCAAAGACGAGCCGCAGTATAAGTATAAAAGAGGGTGAATAATGTGGGAAATAATAATAATAATAATAATAATAATAATAATAATAATAACGACAATAATAGTAATAATAATGACAATAATAGTAATGATAATTATTTGAATCGACTGACTGTTTTTCGGAGCGATAAAAGTAGTTGCCAAAGACATAGAGTTCATCGTTTGTGTGTGGGCTGTGATACTGCCCGGGTGCCCAAACCGAAGCAGGTGGTTTTCTTAGGGGGCCACTCCCCGAGCCTTTGACCTAAAGGTCTAACCCACAAGGCAGTGGAGCATCGTAAGGAGATGCAATCCCATGGTAGCCGGTGACCAAAGATTGCTTCATACGCCATTTGTTCCCGCAGGATACTGGAGCCCATGTGCACCATTGGTTTGTGATCCGATTAAAGCGCCGGACATTCGCTTTTCGTCCTCTCATTTTCGTAAACAACACCGCCACGAGAAGGCAATGAGCGGAACTTCCCTGGCAGACGCTGTATACGCGTGGCCGTGTGAGAGTATTTCGAGAGGGAGAGCGGACTCTCCCCACTCTCGGCCGTACCAGGGCATTCGGGGGCTAGTGAGTAGGACTCTCCTGACAGTGGCTGTATACTCATGACCATATGAGAGCATTTCGAGAGAGAGACCTGACTCTCCTCACCCTCAGCCGTACCCGGACATGTAAGACATGAATGACAAACGTTGAGTGAAAAAATGAACGTTAGTTGCAAACAAAAATATAAAATATTGAAGAGAACGTGATGTAACCGAACTATATTTATTTATTTGAACACATAAATATTGGTACAAGAGAGCGCCTTTATATATGCGCCACACTAAGCAATGAGAATTCGAAAAGAAAGAAAAAAAGGTAAGGAGCGTGAAAAAAAGAGGACAATAACGAAGAGATTAGTTTAAGGTACTGTATTAATAATAATAGTAATGGTGAAGGAACGGAAAGGTACAATCAGAAGAAATCTTTCAGGTAAGGGAGACACAACCACTTTTTATGAAGAAAGTAAAAAATTACATCAGGATCTCCACTGGCTTCTATTCTGAGCCATATCTGATAACGTCTCTAGCCACTGAGTCGCACCATCTCTCGGACCCTAACCAGGGAGTCGTGAAGGACCGACAGAAGCCAGTCCTTTGCAGCTTTCTTTCATGCCACGACACCATGTCGTGCACTGACCACCTCTTCGCTTTTTCCAACCAGTCCTAGAGTCGGCAAATAATGCACGACGTGGAATTCTCTGGGACGACATTCGGAGAACATGTCCAAGCCAACGAAGTCGATGTTTCAAGATGGTGACACCAATTGAATTATCATCTCTGTGCCCGAACACACGATGCCGAACCTCTGCATTACTGACATGGTGTTGCCACTGGATGTCAGCAATCCTTCGGAGACAGCGATGAGTCTTCTAACATCCTCAACTCGGAGATGCCAGATTTCACAAGCATAGAGCAAAACTGCTCTCACCGACGCGTTGTAGATCCGACCTTTCACAGCCAGACTGATATCACGAAAGTGCCAATAGTGGCCCAGATTGGCATAAGCCGCTCTGGCTTTCACTATACGTGGATTGATCTCATCACTCATGCCACCACCAACAATTGTGCAGCTACCTAGATACACGAACTTCTCGACTACGTCTATCTGCTCACCATCCAGGGTGAGTACAGGATTGGAATCCTGCCAGTCTTGTAGAAGTACTTTGCACTTCGAAGGTGCAAAGCACATACTATATCTACGGACACTAATTGTCATCTGTCTCTGCGCGTGATCTATTCTGAGCCATGTCACCAAGAGTCTCCAACCATTGGTTACGATAGTCACGCGGACCCCAGCCAAGTAGTCTGCATCTACCAACATGACTCAGACTAGAAGTTAGTGACTTCAAGCTCTGATGCCACGTTTTGGTTTGGTCGCCTTTAACTTTCTTCCAACCATCCCCTACACCGGTTAGCATTGGTAGTTGTGGTAATCGGTGTTCGGGCTTACGTAACACGTGGCCCAACCATTTCAGTCGATGAAGATTCACAACCTCATCAACTGATTTACCATCATTCCCTAATACCTTGCGTCTAACTTCACTATTACTGACCCGGTGATCCCAGCAGATGCCAGCAATATTTCTGAGGCATCTGTGATCAAATACTAGTAAACTAGATAGATATTTTAACTTAATTCTGCCTCTAAACGCACGTGACCACTCATTCCCTGGCACCGTCCAGTCATCGAGCTAATAGTTCGCAGATAACTTCTCACTGTTCAACACGCGCTACCAATGTTTGAAACTGACTATGAACAAAGACGCCGATTGCATGTGGGAATCGTCAACCACGAGTGTGAACGCTCCCGGTTGAAGTCGCTGACTGAAGACTACTTCAAAGTCCTCATTCTCATCTGTAGTCTCCAATCGCAAAAGTTCAGTGACATCAGAACACGGTTGCTGATTCGAATGGACTAGACCGTAAAGTGACTTTTAATGCTATTGAAAGTGAATATCAACGTATAGTTAATCTACAACACGATACTACGATAGTTCAGCGTGTTAATTCCGATCGACCTGAAGTATATGTGGTCCAACAACCATCCAACTCGGTTAAATCTGCCCCAGCAAAACCTAGTCCATCTCACTCAAATCCAGAACAACAGGCAAAGATGAAACCTCCTGCTCTCTGCTGGTACTGTAGTGCACGGCATTAGCGCCCGACGTACAATGTTTTATGGTGTAGGAGTAGGATGGAAGAAATCTAGTGTCTGCCAGATTAAAACACGGCACGACAACATAAAGGGCAAAGTGCTTCTACAAGACTGGCAGGATTCCAATCCTGTACTCACCCTGGATGGTGAGCAGATAGACGTAGTCGAGAAGTTCGTGTATCTAGGTAGCTGCACAATTGTTGGTGGTGGCATGAGTGATGAGATCAATCCACGTATAGTGAAAGCCAGAGCGGCTTATGCCAATCTGGGCCACTATTGGCACTTTCGTGATATCAGTCTGGCTGTGAAAGGTCGGATCTACAACGCGTCGGTGAGAGCAGTTTTGCTCTATGCTTGTGAAACCTGGCCTCTCCGAGTTGAGGATGTTAGAAGACTCATCGCTGTCTCCGAAGGATTGCTGACATCCAGTGGCAACACCATGTCAGTAATGCAGAGGTTCGGCATCGTGTGTTCGGGCACAGAGATGATAATTCAATTGGTGTCACCATCTTGAAACATCGACTTCGTTGGCTTGGACATGTTCTCCGAATGTCGTCCCAGAGAATTCCACGTCGTGCATTATTTGCCGACTCTAGGACTGGTTGGAAAAAGCGAAGAGGTGGTCAGTGCACGACATGGTGTCGTGGCATGAAAGAAAGCTGCAAAGGACTGGCTTCTGTCGGTCCTTCACGACTCCCTGGTTAGGGTCCGAGAGATGGTGCGACTCAGTGGCTAGAGACGTTATCAGATATGGCTCAGAATAGAAGCCAGTGGAGATCCTGATGTAATTTTTTACTTTCTTCATAAAAAGTGGTTGTGTCTCCCTTACCTGAAAGATTTCTTCTGATTGTACCTTTCCGTTCCTTCACCATTACTATTATTATTAATACAGTACCTTAAACTAATCTCTTCGTTATTGTCCTCTTTTTTTCACGCTCCTTACCTTTTTTTCTTTCTTTTCGAATTCTCATTGCTTAGTGTGGCGCATATATAAAGGCGCTCTCTTGTACCAATATTTATGTGTTCAAATAAATAAATAAACATGTTCTAAGAATGGTGTCCCAGAGAATTCCACGTCATGCACTATTTGCCAACTCTGGGACTGGTTGGAAAAATCGAAGAGGTGGTCAGTGCATGACATGGTGTCGTTGCATGAAAGAAAGCTGTACAAAACTGGCTTCTGTCGGTCCCTCACGACTCCATAGTTGGGGTCCTAGAGATTGAGCAGCACAATGGTTTGATATGTTATCAGATATGGCTCAGAACAGAAGCCAGTAGTGATCCTGCTGTAACCTTCCTTTACTTTCTCCATGAAGTGATCGTACCTTAAACTGAAAGTATTCTTTTCGGTTGTATTTTTGCTAACTGAACTACTTCTCCTATTATCACCATTATTGTTTCGCTATCATACATTAATTTCTGTTCGTTGGTGTTCTCGTTTTTCCTGTACGCACCATAGATTCTCTCTCTTCACAGCCTCATTGTTATTGTGTGGTGCATATGGATTTGGCGCCCCTTTGTATCAATAGTTATGTTTAAATAAATAAATGAAAATCCGAAAAATCAGAATTTTGGCATACAGTTCGTCCAAAATCAGCAGACGAACATAAATAACGATTCATCGATTTATTTTAAAAATATAGTAACATTTTCCGAAACCTTAAAATAACGATAACACTACTTAATATAGCCGTTTCTAAACCTAGATACCCGTTACAATTCTCTGTAAATAGTTTCCACTAACTGTCAGCTCATACTTGGGACTAATCTCAGGGAAAGTGAAACTAGGTTACACAAAGCAAACGTTTATCGAACGTTAAAAAAGTAAAATTACTTGATATAACTCCAGTTGTTCGTTTGTGACAAAAAGGACCTCATAGTTGGAACACCACACAAATCCCAGAAGCGTTGCTGATTTATTCTACACACGAAAACGTGAGAAGTTACTATAAGAAATAAGGTAACCTTGCATTCTTGAGAATACTGTACACCCCTGGGGCAATTGGCTTGAAAATTTAAAAAGTCAACTGATCGGTGAGTCCGCTGAATTCCCAAGATTTTGTTATCCTCAGAAAACTTAATACTCAAAACTTCGCCTTGATCATCTATGCTGTGATACGAAAAACCATAAAAATAAAAATAAACGAAATTATCTAAAGATACAGCAAGGACGATATGGCTAAAAGACACCCTGGATAGACAAATGCAGGATATTTTTTCATACACACAAAAAATAGCTAAGTTGTGCAGTGACTAATGTAGTGTTGTCCCCCAATCTATTTTTACAATAATTTGTAACACTAATACCGGAAAAATTCAATGTTCAGATATTTTTAACCGTAGCAAATTAGACGGTAGACAAATCAGTTATTACTTAGAAAGCTTAGAAACTTTGCACACTTTTATAATACACTCAGAACTATTTTCCATAGGGAAAACCAAGAAAATTAAAATAGACTCAAGTTTGTTAGATGGAAATAGAGACCAGAACACAAATCGACTGCTGTTGGTCAGGGTGGAAATGGTATAAAACTACCTATCAAGTCATAAGCAATCTAGAACCCGGAATAAATATGCACTAGTGAAAGTCAAATACTCCATAAGCCGAGCGAGGTGAAATCGGCGAGACTCTAATTTAGGGACGAGCCAATCAGAAGCGTTTGGGCAATTTCAAGGTCACGGAGCCAAGTTCAACACGCGCTGCTATCATACGAGCGGTTCACAGCGGATTTTAGAGAGTAGGCGATTAATGAGAGGTTACAACAGATAGGACGGCGAGACTCTAATTTGGGGACGGGCCAATCAGAAGCGTTTGAGCAATTTCAATTACTAGTCAATCAGAAGACAGCATAAAGTAAAAATTAATTAAAAGAAAGTAATAAATTACAGTGGATATTCTTCTTTGACATGATTTAAAAACTCGTATGTTAGCATCCTAACCCTAACCTTAGCCCCCACCTAACTCTAACCCTAAACCCTAACCTTAACCCTAAACCCTCACCTAACCCTAACCCTAAATCTTAACCCTCAACTAACCCTAACCCTAAACCTAAACCCTCACCTAACCCTAACCCTAAACCTTAACCCTCAACTAACCCTAAACCTTAACCCTAAACCCTCACCTAACCCCAACCCTAACTAACCCTAACCCCAAACCTTAACCCTAAAGCCTCAACTAACCCTAAACTCTAACCTTAACCCTAAACCCTCACCTAACCCTAAACCTTAACCCTCAACTAACCCTAACCCTAACCTTACCCGTAAACCTAACTCTAACCCAATAGACGAGTTTCTATTCCATATGCATTGTGAATTCAGTACCTCTGAACCTTAATCAAACCTTAACAAGTTTTTAAATCATGTAAAAGAAGAATATCCACTGTAATTCATTACTTTCATATAATATATTTTCACTTTATACTAACTTTCTTCCGATTGGCTAATAATTGTCAAGGTTACTTAAGATTCGTTCAAAGGTCGTCCTTAAATTAGAGTCTCGCCGTGAAATCAATAAGGTATTAATGCAGCAGAAGTAGCATTATCAGTGATAGTGCAAAAAAAGATGAAATGGAGATTATAATTCGGCAAACGAACTCACAAGGTAAAAGCATGAAGTATTGAAACTCAGAATCTAAGTGAGTGTTTCGGAGCCACCGAGCTCAATATTCACATAAATACATGAAATAGAACTGATACCCGAAATTTCACTGTATGTAACGTTGGCAAAGGTCGCGCATGTTCGTGCTCCTACAATTTCTCGATTCACGTCCTTGGCCAACCTCTTAACTTCCCTCAGTGTTGTGAAAAATTCAACACAAGGATATGATTTGGCAGAAACAAAATGAAGTAAAGGATGACCATAGATATACATGTGAACACATCAACCCAGGAAAAACTGAATGCTAGGGTGGAGCAGTTACATAACTCAATAAAATGAGTAAAAATTTAAGCTCATTGTTGAAGTAAGCTCAAACGTATACTTTCGTTTAGAACTACTGTTAATTACAGTTGAATATAGAAATTTAGGGAAGGACGACTTGAAGGTCTCCACAACGGGATTACTTAAGATTTCCGGTCAATCAGTTATGAGCGAAATCCTTTCGAATAGAATATAACTTACCGAAAATTCAAAACCAAATCATCAACAACAGATTTGACATTGACACCCATCGTACCACGACTCCTGAGAGTAAATATCTACAAACATTTACATGATAAAACCAGAGTTACATGTTTACGAGCATCGTCAAAGTAAACACTATTAAGTGTGTCAAGTGGTTCGAAAACCGTTACTTTCGTCGATAAGTACAGAAAAGAATCGCAATTTTCACCAGCCAGCTTTATGTAACGCCTTATTTGATTATGGTACCAATATCAAATGTCACTGTAACGAGTTGGTGTAAACGGTTGAGGGAACTCGGTATTGTAGAGGAAGTGACTAGCATGAACTTCTTTCGATAATAACTCTTTTCATCACTCACATTTTTCGTAATTTCACTTGTTTGTACAATTACTGAAATTTACCACATAGTTGTTGTGCTAGTTTGGCCATGAGCTTTCCTTTTCATTTCCGCTTACAAGATAAATTGATTATCGCCCGCAAGTAGAATTCTTCCCACAAACTCCTCAGTTAATCCTCTGTCTCATGAACAGGTCGTTAACATAATTACCATATACGTTTGTAGACCACATCTATGTCCTCATTACTGATTTGTCGTGATTTGAGGTAGTCAACAGGAAACCCTGGACCAGGGTTTCACGCTACTTGGCAATCGTCAGCAAGGTTTACCTGTTATCCTGAGAGAAGTGATGCTCCTCGATGGATTTGATCCCGTGTCACCCAGCTTCACAGTCCGGGATTTTACCACTAGGATATCTGAGTGCCGAGTAACATGAAACTCTGGTCCAGGGTTTACTGATGACTACCTCCAACCACCATCTAATTTCAACATAATGCACGCAATGTCGAGTCCCCTAGACTAGTGATCACATTGCAGCTTGGTCGATAGCTTTCGATCTCAACTAGGAAGGACTTGACATAAATGACATTGATCACCAGCCAGTGATCAATCAATTGTGATCATCACTGATTTGTCTCTGGCATATATTACTTTGGATTAGATTACGTATTTGGACTTATAGACCACTTATTAGAAAACTGAATACACCATTATTGTTCAAATTGTACTGGAATCACGACCTAAAAAATTTCTATTCAGGATGCTGTAAGTCATTATATGGTTACTTCTAACACGCCTACACTATGGTGCATGAAGGCTCATTGATCTCAGACGCTCTTCATACGGCTTAAATCTGAGTCCCCGAACTGATTTCCAGCTAACCGTTGCATAAAATCCAATGTATCCTTATGCTTCCGGTGTGAGGAGGAAATAGTATATTTCCATACTCTGAATGAGGTGAAACAAAATTGTCGGAGATTGTGCAGAAGGTTTTCCCGTCAAACTGGCCAAAAATGACCTTCAATGTTACCAGTGCTACGTTCTCTTGGGAATCATTTTTGTCACAGTTGGCGTAAGAATGCAAAGTATAAGATTTCAAAACTCCTAGATCTTTTTCAACTTGAGACACCCCAAAAGGGGAGTTACCTTAATTATATGTGTAGTCTGCAAAATATCTCATATGGACTACCTTACATTCTGAAGCGCTTAGGGTTATTCACCGGACTTTATTATCGAGTCAGATCATCCTGAATTGTCAACCTATTATCTTAGTTGCAAACGTCTCTCCAGAATTTCATATCAACAGAAAAAAGTAATAGGTTACATGATATCTACTGAGGATGGCTGTTTAAAAAGATTAGGAAAAGAAGAGGTTCTTGTGGTGAACCCTGAGGGACCACGCTAGAAAATTCAGTAGCCTGACAAGAAGTGTAGTTTACCCCGACTTTACAAAGCCGATTATTCATGTATGAAGTAAACCAATGTGTTATCGTTCAAGAATACTTATGAGATACATATTATTGACACTCTCCAAATTCAATATACATGACATTATACATTTCCTTGCGATCAATGGTGGTTGTTCATATATGCACCACCTTCAGTGGCTTGGTTAACTGGAGTGGCTTTTCCTGAAACTGTGTTGTTTGGATAAAAGCAGTTTATAGAGAACACTTGGTCACGAGAATCGTCATACATCAGAAGCTCCATGAGTTTTGAGATATTGAGAGAAGTTTTACTGGCCTTTAGCTAGAAGGTTCACTGAGTATGCCTCCTTTGAAAATTTGTGTAATATGAGCCAGTTTCTAATTTTCGAGTGTTGTGTTTCGGCTTATCGAATGTGAACGGTATTTCCAAGATTGAAGCTGTTTCCCTGAGCTTAGCAGAATGGACAGCATAAAGGCCAGAAGTATCCATGTCTATATACTGCAGTTTCTGATACACCAATTGGCGGTTTAGATTCACTTCCGAGAGTCCTATTGAGTTGCAAAAGTAGCTCTCGATGATATAATTAGTATGAAACTGCTGAAATGTCTGTACTGTACTGTTCTACGAAAATTTCAGTGGCGTCAATGTCGTTGTTGATACATAATAATTGGGAAACACCAGTTTTAACCTCTCAAAGAGAAACTGCATGGCAAAAAAAGCTTTTCGGATTGGAAATGAATTGGTCAATTGGCTCTCTTATTACTCTTGTACGTTGGTCCCCAGATTGTTTGAACTGTCTATAAACGCTGTTGTCTCTAGTTCCTTCATATTCCTCCCATTAGTGACGTTTGCGTTTTAGAATTCAAAGAGTGGAGTTATTTATGACTGTAAGTTTCTTGTATATTTTGGAGACCGCTTGCTGGACAGATTTATTTGTGACGCATAAGAACGTGTGGAGTTCTTCGTAAATATGCATCTAATCGTGACAGCGTTTGAATATTTCTCCAGCGACTTATCAACTTAACATTTTCGAAGAATCTCAGATCTTCAGTAAGATTGAAGAACTGAGCTTTAGTAGATTTGTTCGTGTTTTCAGTAAAGTTGACTTTAGGAAGATTTAGGTCTTCTAGAATTTGGATATTAATGTATTAAATACGAATAGAGCGTAATATTCCCTCCAGTAGACAATCGTTGTACTCAGCTTCATCAGTGAAATTCCTGTAGATAACTCCGACGAGACATCATGAATAGTAAGATAATCTTATTGAACACAATACAAATTCATCAATATTCATTAAATCTTGAGTGTAGACTGTATGTACTACCGAGGAAGTTCGAAGTTACGGGGCTTCTTAGCCCTCCATTCTTGTTTCCATGTCGTTATGAAAAAAATCTTGCCGGATATTGCTAGCTCCCAGTCCGTAAGTTGACATGCCTTAGTTCAGATATTCCTATCAGATGTGTATATTTGGCATTATATAGTTCACACAGTCCATATATTTCATTCGATAAACTCCCAATTTTCGCATGTAAGTAATTATAAGAACTACAAAACAAACCTTCAATTTTGTAGGTTCCGGAGCAAAGCTACCAAATACCAAACCAACGACAAAGGAAAACCAAAATGTCCGGTATAATGATATAAACAAACAAGTTCAAAAGTTAAGTAAAACAAATACATCCCAAAACACAGTAAATTATTAATACACAATTAAAAGGTATTAATCCGCCAAATGTCTTCAGTTCTCCTGTAACACTCCAGATCAAAAGAACCTTGGTTCTTTCCACAGACAAATAAATAGGAGCAGGAATCCAAGTATGTACATCACAAGCAATCAACAACAAGCATTCAGTAAACCGACAACCTCGTGATCCCCAGGACTTACACCAGTACGCCTAGGGATCCGAGTAGCTACCTACCATCTACAGCTTCAAGAAGACACAGTTTTCGAATATCTCTCATTAGGATCCCCTTTCTTGTCCTCAGTCCTACCTGTCTCACTAATCTATCCTTACTTGGTATCACTCTCTGTACTAGATCTAAGGGCCATTTGTTTTTCTCGGACAAGTCAGAACATATCATTACTAAGTGACCCTCCTGTATGTTCCTCTATAAGTGGGTCCACTTGTATCTACGCTGCAACAGCGAAACATATTTTTTAGACCAACGTCTCCAAAATACTTGTGCCAAGTAATTTGCTAGCTTCCATTTCTTAGAATACCTATCATTAGATAGAGTGTTAGTGAATTCTGCGACGTTCTCTCTCAATAGAAATAGTTTTGCTGGTGTTATTGCATCGAGATCATTCGATTCGCTTATAACGGGAACAAAAGGTCGATTGTTAATTATACGTTCAGCCTCTTTCATGAAAGTTTCAAGGCATTCATCTGTTAAATATTGTTCCTTTACAAGAGCACCCAATAACATACGTACAAATGAATCATGCGCTCCCATACTCCTCCCCAATAACTAGCAGCCGGAGGATTGTAGTGCCAGCCAAGCCCTTTTCTTAGTAAATCAGAGTGTATACACTCCTGAACCCAACCCTGAAGACATTTTCTTAGTTCACGTTCAGCCCCCACCAGATTTGATCCAATATCACTATATATCTCTTTTGGATAGCTTCTCCTACTGACAAACCTCATTAATGCTATGATAAATGGGTCTGTGGCAAAACTATATGTGACCTCCAGATCCACAGCTCTCAACCTTAAACAAGTGAATACACAACTATACCGCTTCTCAGTACTTCTACCATGTTTAACCATAATGGGTCCAATAGAATCTACTCCAACTGATGAGAATCGATAGTCACCACCTTCTATTCTGATCGGAGGTAATGGTGCCATTAGTTGTCGAATGGAACGGGCGTTCCTCCTCTTACAATAAACACAGTCCTTTATTACCCTCCTCGTGGCTACACCACCCCTCAGCACCCAAAATCTTTCTCGGACCGTTGCCATTACCTGTGTAGCTTTAAAATATGGTAATACTGTAGAATCAAATTTGTAATTGTATGCTTCGATGGTAATATTATAGGATGCTTCCTCGACTCGGGCCAGGAACTAATTTGGAGTCGGCCACCGACACATAATAATCCGATTATCCACATTGGACTTAAAGTTCGTAACGGTGAATTTGTTATTTTGACGTTGCTAGTGGTATCAGACGACAACATTTCAATCTCTTTCCGAAATACGTTGGACATATCGAATTAAATCTAAACAACTTAACTTAACTCATCAACTTTGAGCATACCCACCCGTAGAGACAGATCAGTTCTATCAGAGCGCATTATCAATGAATATCGCTTAAATCGGGTTAACCACTCAACAGCCTTAAGTAATCTAGTCCAATCTGAATAACAGTTAATAAGTAGATCGACAGTGGATTTTTCAACCATTACATGCGTAGGCATTGCTTTCTGTAATTCCAAGAGATGGGGTTCAGGACCTTGTATATCAGCAGCAGGCCAACA